TTTCAGCTTTGCTGTATCCCTGCATGCTGCCCCTCCTTGTCACTCTTGGCTCTAAACTTATAACCAAGATCCCAAGCTAGGCAACCACTTGTTTGAGGAGAGGGATGTTTGGACATAGTCGACTGACCAAAATGCACATAGGAGCATTTGTCCCTGTTTCCCTGAATTAGGAGGAACCCAGTAGCCCAGGGTCCCTAAGAGCAACCTCACATCATTACATACACTTTCTGTAATCTATCTGTATAAAAACCTAATATGCAAATCAACCAAACACCAGAATGACCTGTGGAATGACTCGTCAGTGGGGGGCACTAGGCCAAGGCCAGTGCCAGCAGGCAGAGGGAAGCAACCAGCAGTGATGGTGGGGGGAGGGGGGCAGTTCTAGTGAGAGGGTGGCACCAGCCAAGGCAAGTGTCAGCAGGCCCTCTTCCCCCCCCCCCCCCCCCCCGTCACCCCATCAGTCACCTCACTGGCCAGGCTTAGGGACTCTACCCATGCATTAATTTTGTGCACTAGGCCTCTAGTCTGAAAGAATAGGTTTTGTTTTCAGTAGGCACGTGCATGCATGTGCATGTGTGTTTCTAGTCATCTAGGTAAAATAGGAATGTTATACTTAGATGGTAATGAATGCAAAATGAGCACTTAACATCTCACATGGCACAAATGGCTAAATGGAAGCCCTGAGCCTCTCTTTATGGAACAGGTTCAGTGAGAGCTATGGAAGTAGTGTTTGGTTAATGTCAATACAGGATTAAATTTAAATTTATACTCTTTGAAGAAGCTCCAACATTACCTGTTAATGACCAAGGTGGTACTTGGGCTTAGATAGACTTTTTGATTGTGCACATGAACTAACACTGCGGCTTGCTGATGAGAGATTATGTGAGCTTGGAGACTTGGTGTGCCAAAGGATTCTTTGTATGAATAAAAAATTCTGGTCAGTGAAGGTCAGTTTCTCTACTCAAGCGAGAACAATGTTATTTCCCTTCAAATCAGACACACACAGTGTTTGAAGACTCCAAGAGTCCCATATAAGGGATGTGCAGCCATAGTCTGGTCAACATCTCATGCAAGAAATGAATAATCCTTAATAGAGGATCAAATGATGCTGGCTTTTTTCTGTACTCTAATCAGTTCCTTTAATGGTATGCCTTCAGTGCGTCACAGGGAAAATGCTATAAGTTATCTTCATCTTACTCCAAGGAGGGCTGAATTGGTCCAATCAATCCTCCCCCCATGTTATTCTTGATTCTGCTATAAAGACCACGGAAGTCAGCCTCAGTTTTGTTGAAAAGCCAGCATTCCCTTTCTCTTTCAGGGTGATGTGCCCCTGAGCGGCAGTGGACTTGAAACAGCAGGAATCACCATCTTTATTGTTCAGCTGTGCAATTTGTTTTAGGCACGTTCTAAATCCAGTCTTATGCCTTTTGCTTTTTTTTTTTTTTTTTTTTTTTTTATGTGACAAAGGTGACCCAATTGTGATTCTTTGATATTATGAACACAGCTCTTTCTGCTCGTATCACAGAGGCATGTAACAAAATACAAAGGATAAAGTTATGTCCTGTGTAGTAAGGACACATATTTCATGACTAAATTCAATGACATAATCAAAAAGGTGTTGTCCTCTTACAGTCATGAGCTAACAGCCAGAGACTGCCTTTCAGAATATTTTTATAGTGCTGAGATACTGTTAAAAAAATAATAGAACTAATGAAAATGTCACAGTGACAGAGTAGCATGTACTAAGATTTTACTTCAAGAAGGCATGACTAGGTGAATGTGACTTTGACAGCAATGGTGTTAGGGTTTACAGAGTTAATAAAATATTCTAAGAAGAATATTATAGAGTTTCAGTTGGAGTATATAATTTTTTTCATTTTACCTTTTATTTCTGGAATTAAGTAGACTCCAGTGTTCAGAATTTTAGTCTGAATGTCTTATTTCTGCCTAGGAGAGGTATATTGAGCTTTTTCTTTATATCAGGCTCTAATATAATTTTATCATATAAAGGAATAAGTTAATTTAACAATATGGTAAAATGCATGTGCCTTAGGGCATTTGGAAAATATGAAGATAGTAAAAATTACATAATGCTAAAGTATTTCTCAGTAAATAAATATGCGATGTTTAAGTGATTAAATACATACAGAAAGTAGAAATGAAGATTAGCACTACAAAAGAGAACTCATTTGAAACAGACTAGTTGTAGCATCACTGAAGACTTTCCTTAGCTCTCTGGGTTGGTTGAACAAATATTCCAGCAAATCTGGAATGAATAGCAATGCTGTTTACTGTGACAGGCTTTATTTGTCTTGGGCACCACCAAGACCACATGCTGTGTTTTGTCATGTTGGAAATGCTGAAGCAGATTTCCATTGTGAATGGGAATTGTTTTTTTTTTCAAGCTTTAACACCTCAGTCTCAACTCAGCTAGGTAAAAGCAATACTTTTTCCTTTCCTTACCAGCCAGACATCAATAGATCTTAAATCCCTCCACCAAAAAATGTCAGGCAGTTCAATGTCCTAGTTCAGTGGCTGGCAAACTGTGGCTCTCGAGCCATACGTGAGCCAAGCCGTGGTTTGACTAATGAGTTTGCTGACCACTGCTAGACTAAATGTTACCTTGTAGTTGGAAGTTGTGAGAATGAAGCAGTTGTGGCATATTGTGTGCAAAGAGGTAAAGGGTGATATATGACAGTGGTCGGCAAATTCATTAGTCAACAGAGTGGCAAACCAGAGCTCGCGAGCTGCTGTTTGCCGACCACTATCCTAGTTGTAGTCTCACATCAGTCATCACAGTCGTAGATGGTCTGATTCTTCTTATTTCCAAGGGCTGTTTTTCTGCCTTTACTCTAACAAAACTTTTCATTTCCTTTCTCCTCCATATAGCTTTCATAACTCCATACCCTGCAAAGATGTGATAATGATGGCATTGGGCCTTCTCAATGATGCAGACATTGCTACCTAGTATAAACATGGATAATATTCAACTTTCCCCCTCATTTATATTCTGTGTTGACAAAGCCATGTCAACACAGCTATTGTCTCTAATTACATTCACCTTTTAGAGTTGTTGATTCTTCTGAATTTATGGAAAATGTGTATAACATGGCTTTAATTTAGTTGAAGTAGCACAGCATATCATGAGATTATATAGATATACTTTCTACCTTGAAGTAATGCTGGGTAGCAGATCCTTGCAAAATTCTCATCACATTCCTTGTTTATACATAATGATTATCTAGTTAGCAGGGAGATTTAGGGAAAAGTAGAAGACTGAGGGTTTAAGAGTAAAGGAAAGATTGTTGTTTTCACAGATTAGGATCAAATCTTTTTGTCCTGTGGTCTTTATTCTAGTTTGATATGAATTTGTGCTTTTCTCTAAAGTCTTTTATCATTCTGTCTGAAATGAGTTTAAGGCTAATCTTATACTGAGAAGCCTGGTAACCAATAGGGATTAGCATGTAATTAATAGGTTTTGCTGTGGAGCAGCGCGGGGAGATTTGAGATAGTGGTGAAGGTGTTGGAATCCGCTGCAACACCCTCACCCACAATTTTATGGACACCGTGGAGCACTAACCTTAAGTTATGATATGACATCTGCCAAATGGTGACTCTGTGCACACTGAATGTCTGATCAGGGTTAGAGGTGAGACTAAAGAGGGGGAAAAAGGCTCACTTCAATACTTTTAACATTCAAAGAAATATACAAACACCTACTACGCACCAGGTTAATTGCAGATGCTTGGGGGATACTGGTTGAACAAGTACCTGCTCTTATGGAACTCACATTATGTATAAGAATCATATAGGTAAAGAAAAAATTTTAGATAGTAAAGGATAAAAAAAAGAAAAAAAACTATAGTAAGTATGAAGAAAGAGAGTAGTGGGCTGACCAATAATAATTGTAAGAAAGTCACTAAGGCATCTCTAAGGAGGTAGCATGAGCCCAGGCCAAGTGAGGAAAAGCTACTTCAGGGCTTTTCATACAAAGTGGCAGCAAGTGCAGAGATCCTGATGAAGGAATTATCTTTGGTCATTCAAGGAACAGAAAGAGAATCTTTGTGGCTGCAACTTGCCAAGATAAAGGAGGGGAAGGTGATAGATGAAGTTGAAGAGTTGGGAGTGAAGCGATGTTATGAAAATTCCAGGAATGAATTCATCTTGGGGATATTGGTAAATGTAAACTCAACAGTTAAAAGGTAAATGATCATATTTGTAGTTTTAAGGACAAACTTAAATGGAAGCTCAATAGGATAACTAGGAATAAGTAGGGTGTCTTTTGGCAAACAAGGTAGCAGCATGAGGGAGCTTCACAGCCTAGTGTTTGATATGAAGCTGTTATCAAACTGCTCTTCCTAGAATATCTCCAGTAGAAACACTAGCACATTTGTGTGTTTTCAAAAATGATGGCAATCTTCTTTTAATGTACTTCTTAAGTTGAGAGTAAATTTTTGTTTCTGACAAGTTAACTCGGTCTAATTCTCCCCTATAGTTCCTCTAAGTACAACTCTTGTTTCCCATCCCAGCAGAGGGGCATAGATCTCAGGACCCTCACTGGGGACTTGTGCTACTTACCTGTGTTGATGAATGCTTGATAATAAGATAAGCTATCTCAGAGATTAAAAATTATCTCAGGAAAGTCCATATTTTAGGAGATTATCAGGATGCTGGCAAAATCTGCAGGTAAGATTTAATTTTGTATTCAAATAAACCCATGTAGTTTGCTTACAGAAACCAAGTGATTAGCTACACAGCTAATCCATAAGTATGGATTCTCCCTCCCCCCTCCCAATTTTAATTTTGGTTTTGTTTGGAATACAGTGAGTGTGCAGGCATGGTGGAGACTTGCCAAACATCTGACACTCTTGGACTTCAAAAGGCAATTCTGAAATCTTCAAATTCCATCATAGGCTTGCAGCTTACTGTTTCATATTATAAAGAGCAAAGTGTAGAGCACCTAAGTTTATTGGTTTGTTTGTTTGTTTGTTTTTTGGCAGAAGCAAAATGCTCTGGTTTCAAGGAAATAGCATGCAATTTGCCAACTACTCCTTTAAACTCTTCCTGAGAAATCTCTCTGCCTCCAGGACTGTTTTGCCTGTGTTGACCTTATTCACAAAGGTAGAGTGAAAAATAAAATTACTGCTTTAAAAACATAAAGTATTCAAATCATTGGGTGAAGAAAATAAGGAAGAAAAACGTTGAAATTAATGTAAAGGAATAAACATTCTTCGGACCTGTTCCTCAGTTTTTCAGTTTCAGTATCAGCAATAGAAACTCTATTTCCTCCCAGATACCTCATTGTCTCACAATTAGAGGTTAAATTAATATATTTAGTAGTCATCTTATACCCCTACATTGAAAGAAAAAACTATCAGATTATAATATGATGTTTATAAATGTATCACTTAGAACTTAGTTCTTATTATTTGTGATAGTTATGTCCTATAAATTCACCAAAAACACTGAATTAGCAAATGCTGGACCTTTGCTCCTAGGGAAAATACAGGGTTACATTCCATGAGCTTCTGTTAACATTTTTGTTAATCAATCAGTACATAACCTTGTTCTGTTTAACGACACCTTGTTTAATACATATTGTTGATTCATTAATATTGAACTCACAGCCAACAGCACTATAGCTCCTCCTGAACAAAGCTTATCTAACATTATTTTCTCACTAAGGCACATCAAAGCCTTCTTGTGCCTAGAAGCATTAGACAGCACTTCAACACTATTAAGAGGAAGGACAAAAAATAAAAAATAAATGGCACTGAACAGATCATGAGAAGGATGCTTGTTTACACATATGAGCTGAAACAAGAAGGCAGAGCATCATCTTGTTCAATCTCAGCTGGAATGGGACTCAAAATTTGCTCTGTTGTGTGCACATGCATGTCTGTGAATGATTACAAAAGGTTCATGAATATTGATCTTGGAGTTACAAATAAGTTTTAATGAATAGGTGAACTCACAAACACAGAATCCACAAATAATGAGGCTTGACTGTTTTCTTATCCCTGACACTACTTTTAAAGTATAAAAGTAGTTTAAATTTTTTAAGAGCTTTTCCCCTGAAATTTATAATACAAGCATTGCTGATTTTATTTTGCTAATTAACATTACCTTGTATGATTAATAATAAAAAAATAAAAAAATAAAGTGCAGGGTAATAGAATTAACGAGTGAATAATACTGCAATTCAAACAAAAAAAAGCATTGTGTTTTAATAGATTTTTCAGAATTCGGGCATTTTAACAATTTAAAAATATCTGATGATTATCTAATAAAAAAGCTTGAAAAACTTAAAAATTAATATCTTGTTGAGAATAGTTTCTCTCAACTACTTTTCATATCTATGAGTATATACTACACTGTTGGAAATTATGGAACAAAACTATTTCATCATCTGTGTCTACATATGAGAAATGCATGTGAGAATTAACCACAAAAATAAAGTAATCCCTAAAACAAATGGTGGTCATTCAGCCTGAAATCCTGCACTATTTTTCAGTTTGAGCAATAGCCAAGTTAGCTGAAAACATTTGCAAAAACACACACACTAATCTTCCATTCAGCTTACATTTTGTACTGAACCCTTTATATGTGTCATTAGGCATATAATATCACTCTCACCTTCAGGAGTTCACAATCCAAAGAAAAAGCACAGTATTAGCTCTCTTTCAGTTATAAATAATAAAAAGTGCTTCCCAGAGTGACTTAAACAAAAAAAGGGATTTTATGGCTTGGTCTGGTTTCAGGGATAGCTTCATTCTGAAACTAAGCAGTTGCCAATCTCTTCAGTTCCACATCCCTGGGTTAAATCTGTCTTGACTCTGCCTCTTCTCATGAATGACTGCAGTGATGCCAAGCCCCAGATCTCACAGCTTGGGTATCAGAAACTCCAGTAAAAGCCTCATAGCTATCTATTGGCTCCGATCAGCCCAATCCCTGAGCCATTCCATTTTAGCCAGAGGGATAGGATGTGCTGATTGCCATATTGATCAGGGATGGAGTCCACAACATGCTGAGAGCAGTTCCTGTGAGGCAAAATTACAGCATTCTTGCTAAAGGAAAAGGGTGTGAGCAGTGGACAACCAATCCAACAAATGTTCATTACCTTTCAGGGCTGGAGTAAATAAGTGCTCTATTAGTGCCATAGGAAATCCTAGACAAGGATATTTGAATGGTCCAGACCACCAGGTCTTACCATTTTTCAATTCATAGACTTCTTCAAAATTTGATGGACTTTTTCTCATAAACACACACACACACACACACACACACGATAATTTGCACAGACTTTTATGGGCACTAGCTTTTAAAAACAAAACATAACAGTTTATCTCTTCCTGTCATGTTAAAAAGCAGATCCTATATAATAAAAGGCTAATATGTAAATTGTCCCCTTGACCAGGAGTTTGACTAGGGGGCAGGGCCAGCCCACCAACCTCCTGAACCCTCTCCTCCAGCCAGCCTGGCCCGATCAGCCCCAATCGGGGCTGGCCAGCCAGACTCCATCCGTGCACAAATTCATGCACCGGGCCTCTAGTCCTATGTAATAAAAGCTTAAAATGCAAATTGACTGAATGGCAGAACAACCAATGGAATGACCAGTCGTTATTACACGTACTGACCACCAGGGGCAGACACTCAATGCAGGAGCTGCCCCCACCCACAGGCCCCAAGCCAGCCAAGGCAGGTGCCAGTGGGCCTCACCCCCTACCCCCCAATCCCTCCCTCACCAGTCGCCCTGCAGAAGGAAACGGCCAGCAGTGGGGAGCAGGGCCAGCAAGCAGGTGATGCCAGGCCAGCCAAGGCAGGTGCCATTGGGGGCCTCCTGATCACCCCACTGGTTGCCCCACAGATCAGCCCTGAATGTCAGCCAGGCCTAGGGCACTAGCTTTTAAAAACAAAACATAACAGTTTAACTAGCACCAGGCCGCTAGTTTTATAGGCCTCTAGTTTTATATAAGCACCAATAATGTTGAGTATATTCTTAACTCATTGCTCGAGAACCTGTAACTAGTTTCTATTCATGAAGTCTAGGCCTGAAAAGCCTTTAAAATCTGCCAACGATCCATAGCATTCTCAACAGACTCCACTATGTGGTTAGAGTACAAAGAACAGGCACTAAAATGTGCTTGCTTCTTAGGTGGAGAATTAACTGGGAACCTATTGCTGACAGTTATAATGAGAAAGAGACAAGACATTAAAGAGTTGGTACATTCATCATCTGAAATATTTTTCCCTTTTTAAAGATGGGACACTCACTATCTAACTCTGTGCTAGTGGGTTTATTCCTATGGATTAGGAAAAACAAGCTGGCAAAGCTCAGTGTTCCCATTCAAAGCAGACTTTTAGCTAGTCTGGTGATGTCAGCCAGGCCAGGAAGGTGCTCCTTGGAGTATAGATCAGTGAAAAATAATTTTCCCAGCTATCAATTAGATGAAGCCAGTGACAAAAAAATGTAAGCATCTAAATGTATTGTGTATGTGTATATGTACATATGTATCAATATATCTACCTATAATATATATCTAATAGATACATTTGTTATGTACATATATGTTATGTGTATATACACACATGTGTAACAAATGTAAACATCTAAATTTATTAGACAGGTAGATTGATTTATGGAGACAAATATAACAATTGAAAAATGCGGAAAGCCCATTTACTATGAAATATTAGCTGTTTATAAGATTTTTATGACAGTGTTTTATTTTGGAAATGAAAGTGTAGAAAACAATCTGTTAAAATACAATTTGCTTCTGTGGTTTTTGTCAGGTTGCTACCATTCTTGGGTTTAATGGCTTTATTTTTTCTTCCTGTAGGATCCATGTCCCCTTTGTGATGAAGCTAAGGAAGTACTGGAGCCTTATAAAAACAGGGTAATGTAGTATAGTGTGGCTTTATGTATATGGAATGAATATAAGGTATCTGGATCCTTTCTTTAGGAAAGAGAGTAAATAATTTTTCACTTACATTTTTTTTTCTAATTTCCAGAGAGATGCTAGTGCTAATTTCCATAAAAATTACTATCCTTGGTGTTTCTCTGAGCAGTACTTGTTTTCTTACTCTTAATGTGAGTCAAAGTTAAATATCAAATGCTGTATTCATGCTTTTTCAAAACTTTTGTCCCTATTTTTTTCTCTTATTTTATCATTTCCATGGTTCACCTGTAGTAAAGCATGACATTTTTAAAAACTAAAGCATGTCTTTTCTGATTCTCAGGAAGTTTCCCTGTGAGGACATATTTTATTTCATTGGGAACAGAGTAGTGCCTGGACGCTGAATGTGACAGGTATAACAGAAAAGTAGCAAAATCTGGAGTTATGGAATATAATGAAATCAACCAAGTTGTGGAAATCAGGGACATTCGATTACTTTGGACCTCACACAAACAAACAACAATAACAAAAACCTCTGAGCATTAGAACCAGTCTCAGGATCAGTTTGTCACTGAAGTTATTGCATCATTCCATGTTCTCAAAAATATAGAGCTTTAGTCTGCCTCTGTTTCAGTTTATTTTACAGGAGGTGGACATCACACTTCCAGAAAACTCTGCTTGGTATGAGAGGTATAAATTTGACATTCCCGTCTTTCATTTGAATGGCCAGTTTCTGATGATGCATCGAGTAAACATCTCAAAACTTGAAAAACAGCTCCAGAAACTTGAGCAGCAAGGTACTGGAAGCTGATGAAAGCCCTCGTGATTTTCCGCCCTCGCTGTCCAGAAGGCATCTTCCCAAGGAAGTGACCATGGCCTTGTATTCCTGTGGTCAACTGTCACACAGCCTAATAAGGTTCTGAACTCAGTGGTGCCAAATAAGTGTTGACATTTCTCTTCTGATTGGTGGATGTACAATGTGAAAACTGTTTACCTTTGGCATTTTATAAAACAAGAGGAGTATGTTGGCAGGGAGAGTGGGAGAAATCCATTTGTTTCATTTCTTTTTCTCTTGTCATTTGTATTAATATGGAAACATTTCACATTCATTGGACAGTGCCATTTATAGGAAGAGGGCTCCACATCCCTGCTGCTGCCCAAAGGGCTTAACTTTTTAATGGAGGAATAAATGCTCTTCCTCTCAGTAGATAAAGTGAAATGTGAATTGTTAAAAACTGTGCACAGTCAATAAAGGGATGTTTTAACAAATACACCTGCATGAAGCCTATTTTGGTGGAACTTAATAATACCTGTTTAAAATTAGAGCTCATTTTTCTGGGTAGAAGAGAATAATTATCTGAACCAAAGAAAGCTTCATTTAAGAAAAACAAAAGAAAGACATAAGCCCCCAAAATGTATATAAGGATCTCAATATGCTTTGCATGTAATCAGTGAATTGATTTGTAATATTTGAGTACTGCCTTTGTTAGTTTTTCAGTTATCATCAATTGAGTTAATTAAGCCTTTTATGAAACAGCGGTTTTATCAGGTTTTAATATCTTAGGGAAAATTTACTTCTGACCATAATTGAACAGATATGTCATCTAAAAACAAAATGTTCTTTGCCATTTTATATAAAGTATTAAAAATGTAGTTGTGTGCTCTTATTTATATTTACCATAGTCAGGTTTGGCCAGTATAGGAGTAGGTTCATTTAAAAACAAAACTGCCTTTTCCTCTTAAAATCATATCATTGCAACTTTATCTATAATGAAATTATTCTATGAACTATTTTAATGAATTTGGATATTGTGAGTTCCTTGGCTACATTTAAATTTAATTAGTATAGCCAGACTGGTATGGCTCAGTGGTTGAGCATTGACCTATGAACCAGGAGGTCACTGTTGGATTCCCAGTCAGGGTTCATGCCAGATTTTGGGCTTGATTCCCAATAAGGGGCAGGCAGAAGGAAACTGATTGATGATTCTCATCATTGATGTTTCTATCTCTCCAGCTCATTTCCTCTTTCTGAAATCAATAAAAAACTTTTTTAAAATGTCTTATATATGAGGAGTAATCTGTCATTCAGAGAGTTTCAGGGACTTAGCTTAAGTCACCTGTCAAACCAGGTCTTGCCACCCACTCCAAATTTCAGCACACTAAGGCTCATGGCATGGGTATCATGTTATTTCAAATAGAGCAAACACAACCATTCTGGATCCAACACACATTAAGAAGTAACTTTAAAAACCTTCCAAGATAAGAGAAAAAATATTACAATCAAGTAACAATGTTTATGATTTATATATTTCTGGAACACATATTATTTGATTTTATATATATTAATTGAGCTCTGTGATAGGCAAAACTGACCCCAGTTTACCCTCATACTGTATTCCCTCCCCTTGAAGTGTGGGTGGAACTCAAGAATAGGATGAAATATCGCTGCTGAGATAATTTACATTATATGGCAAAAGTAGATAATCCTGGTTGGGCCTTACCTAATCAGGTGAGCCCTTTAAAAGCAGAGAATTCTCTCTGGCTGATTATAGACGAGGAAATCAAAGAAACACGTTCCAGCTAGCTTAGAAGGAAGTAAGCATCAGTCCTGTGAACCGTCTAGAGGGGCCACATGGCAAGAAACTGGGCAGCCTCTAGGAACTGAGAGCAGTTCTTGGCCAACAGCTAGCAGAAAAATGGAGACATCAGTCCTACAACTTCAAGAAAATTAATTCCGTCAATAATCAGTGAGTCTAGAAGAGGATCGAACTCCAAATGAGAATCACAGCCCTGGCTAACATCTTGATTTCAGCTCGGAATCTAACCACACCATGCCTAGACTTCTGACCTTCAGAAACTATGGAATAATAAATGTGTGTTTACACAGCAATAGAAGTTCCTCCAACACTGAAGCACAATCTTAGGTGGCAGGATTACAAAAATAAGGTACTGTCCTTTTCTTCAAGATACATACTATCTCTTGGGGAGCAGAGAGCAAGTTAAAGCGCTACAATGTAATGACATGAGATCCGCAAATGAGACATGTAAAAAATGGTACAGCATCCCTAGCTGGTTTGGCTCAGTGGATAGAGCGTCAGCCTGTGGACTGAGGGGGTCCCAGGTTCAATACTGGTCAAGGGCACATGCCTGGGTTTCGGGCTCAATCCCCAGTGGGGAGCCAATCAATGATTATCACTCACAATTGATGTTTTTATCTCTCCCTCTTCCTTCCTCTCTTGAAAACCAGAGACAAACTAGGTCTTACTCATTGAATAGAAGCAATGGGAGAGGGGTTGAGAGTAAGGAGGGTATTCCATCCTGAATGAGTAGCAGGCGAAAAGGGTTAAAGATGGAAGGGCATGGCATATTTAGAAAATGGCAAGTAATTTTGTGTGGCTATAGTGAAGGAGAAAGCATGAATGAGATGAGACTGACAAGACTGATTAGGGTCCACCTTGTCAAGGACCTCATGAGATGTGTGACTTTCCCCCTGAAGTGGTCCTTCCCTTGCTTCCTGGCCTCATCCCTCTGGCTCCTGATTCCCGTGTGTCTGGGCACCCTATGTTCCTTCCTTCTTACTGCAGGCAGTATGAAGGCTATGTCACCCATGTCTCAGGGTGCTGGTCCTTCTGGGCCATGAGTTGGTAAAGTTCCAAGAGTTTCAAGACCTGCTGGGGTATGAGAGAGGGAATCCATTGGTTCCATTCAGAAAGCAGGGCTGGCCAAGAGCCCCTGGAGATTTGTTCTTTTGGAGCACTTCTTGCCTGAGGATAATGGAGATGGGGGGGACGGGGGAGGTAAGGACTTCATCCAAACAACACATTTCTAACCTTAGGATTGTTAACAAGTAAACAAAAACCCATTATACTAAGGGTCTTAAAATTAAAGTGTTGGCTGAGGCACCAAAAAAAAAATAGATGTTACATCCCATAGGAAGTGCTAGATCACATAGGATTGTTGGAGATTAGAGAAAGGATATTTTTATATTTATGTTTTTATTGGTGGGATTAAAAAAAAAAAGTGTGTTCTTAGTTCCTACCAAAGTAAAAGATTGGGGTCACCTAATGTCAAGAGTAAGGGACATATCACTTAATATATGTCTCTGGGTAGGAAGAACACCGTGGTCCAGTTCCCTTCTGGGAAATCATCTGAAAGATAAACTAGCAAGCCACATGGGGTACAGATTGAAGGGGAGCTGCTGTTGCTGCGAGTGTGTCCAGAGGAAGGGTGTGTGTGTGTGTGTGTGTGTGTGTGTGTGTGTGTGTGTTCCTTTAGGGATCAGATCTGGATCAGTCGTGAGCAAGGGCTGGCTGTGGGAAGCCTAGATGCACCCAAGCCAATTGGGAGCAGAAGGAAAATACTAGGTTTCTAAGGGCTGAGGAAGTAAGTGGCTGCTCAAATGGAGAGCACATTTGCCTGAATCCAGGGACTTGCAGCTGAGACATCACCAGCTGTGAATGCAATCTCCAAAGAACGTGCAAAAGCTCCTTTGAAATGTAGTCCGCTAAATGTTTACCAGGCCCAGAAAGCTGAAGGCCATCTTACCACTTCACCAGACAATACTCCTGCTTCTCCTCACTTCTCCTACTTTCTCCCATCCCAACCCTAGAAGAATTAGAAGCAAAGAGAGAAAGACCTCCCCTCCCACACCTTCTCACCTGCACATGGCTTCTCACGGGGCAAAGGGTGGGACTTAATTTTAAACCAAGGTCTAAGTTTTTATTATGACTTAGGAATAGATACAATAACACAATTTGAAATGACCATAGGACTTTTCAATTGCTTGAGAATGCTTAAAGAGTCCTTACACTACCCGGTTTTAATTTTGTCCTAAACAGAGTAGGAAATTCCCCACTTAGTACATTCTGTAGGGATATTGGGAGACATAAATAAAGACGCTATCTGATTGTATTCTATATTTAGAGTACATAGTAATTACATGTGCCTTACCTATAAATATTCAATAAATTTTCTTTATTAATTCTTATTTGAGAGAGTAATGTGGGCATGTGACTAAGAATCCGGGAGATTTTCATCAATTCCTCTGCTGGCAAATCAAAAGGCAGCTACCTAGAAACACAGCATCTAGAAGGTGGTTTGATTACACCATTGTTGATAAGCAGAAGACAATGTTATGTCACTGATTATAGTCATTTTCATATGATATTTGTAGCAGCAGTTACTTTTTCTTTCAAAAATTATATTTGCAAAGATCAATTTGTTTTTATATACACAAGAAGCTCATCATAATATTCTGCTCCCAAATGAAATATTGATATAATCCTTCCTTCTCTTTTTTTTTTTTCCCCTAAGCTAATGCTTTAAAAAGGAGTGGAATAAACATTGAATTTGGTACTGCATGTTGCTGATCTTAGTTACAGTGCTGCTGTCTTCCAGATGTCTCACCAGAGCATTCTCAGTAATTCTGGCCAGTTTATCACAGGAAGCAGAGATTTGCTCAGGGTAAGGTTGTTTTGTTTGTTTATAATAATCCAGCAACTCGTAGATGTCTGACAGTAGGATCATAGTAGGGCCAGGCCTCAGGAAGTATTCTGAAGGAACCATAGAAATCGAAGCAGAACCCTTCTCACTGTGCCTCAGCTTCTTTCTTTTCCTCTTCTCTCCAGGCTCACCACCTCCCCTGTTTACTCAGAGGATCAGCTTTCTCAGAGAGAAAGACCTCCCCTCCCACACCTGCAGCATGTTCTTGCCCATCATTCCTGCTGACCCTTCTGTACATTAATGGTCTGAGACTTTCAGCTTCTCTATTCTGAAATCCCAAAAGAGGAATTTTGCTTATCTAGTTTTTACAGCCAGTTACCCAAGTCGTGTATTAGCTAATCAAACTTACAGAGTTACCATTGGGTCAGGTGCCCATCCCTTGCCCAATCAACTATAGGAACCATGATCATTTGGTTATGCAAATCATCAGAGACTAAAAGCATGGTTAGGAATAATCAGTAGCTCTTGCACATCCAAAAAGTTTAAGAGCAGGTCATTCTGCCATATTCAAAAGTTCATTTATATCCTATCATAAGTGTAATGAGGACTTGAACTAGGGAAATGGGAGTTAGAAAGAAACATCAGGAGATATTTGGGAGTAAGGCTATCAAAACTTCAAAAATACCTTACTCCCAAATATCTCCTGAGGGGGCGAGGGAAGAGTGAGTAAAGAGAAAGCATGGAACCTAGGATGACTCCCAGTCTTCTTGCTATGTCTATTGAGTATGTCCTGGTACTTACTGTTTGAGACAGAGAGCATGTGAGGAAGGGAAGGATAAGTTTTGGTTATGTTTTGGTAGATGGGAAAGATGGGACATAGGAAATATGCCATGCTTGTGGAGCATCTAAGTAAAGATTAAAGTTGGAAGTTCAAATCAGAGGTCTGGTTGTGAGGCACAAAATATGGCTGGAACTGCATCCATCTGGCATGTGAGGAGATAAGAAGACTAGGACTGAGCCCTGGGAAATAATAATCTTGACCACATGGGTAGAAGAAGAGCCAGAGAAGGAAATGGGAATAAAAGGAGATAGAACTAGCAGTGGGAAAAGTTCATGCAATTTCTATTATTTGATGCCTTCTGTTTTATATGACCAGTTTCTAATCCCTGGAACCTGTGAATGTTACTTTATATGCAAAAGAGACTTTTCAGCTGCAGTTAAGAATCTTGAGATAGAGAAATTATTGTGGATTATCCAGGTAGGTCCTAAATATAATTACAAATGTCCTTATAAGAGGGAAATTTGACTACAGAGAGAAAGCAGGCATGGCTGATGTGGCTCAGTGGTTGAGCATTGACTCATGAACCAGGAAGTCAGAATTCGATTCTCGGTCAGAGCCCATGCCAAGGTTGTGGGCTTGATCCCCAGTAGGGGGCATGCAGGAGGCAGCTGACCAATGATTCTTATTATTGATGTTTTTATCCTCTCACCCTCTCCTTTCCTCTCTCTGAAATCAATAGAAATGTATTTAAAAGAGACTGAGAAAGAGAGAGACAGCAGGAGATGTGACAATGGAAGTAAGAGGTTGGAATAATGTATGAAAGGGGTCATGAGCCAAGAAATGCAAGTGGAAAGAAAAACAAAAAAACAACAATGTTCCTTCAGCCTTCAGAAGGAATAAGTCCTGCCAATATCTTGACTTTAGATTTTTGGCCTGCAGAATAGTAAGAAAATAATCTTGTGTTGTTTTTAAGCCACGAAGTCTTAGTAATTTATTACAGCAGCAATAGGGAACTAATACAAATGGTGACTTGACCTTATTGAGAACAATTTTGGCAGGGGGAGGGAAGAAGATATAAACTTAAAATAAAAAAGAAAGAAAGAAAAATGCATTTGAATAGCTCAGACAGAGTGGCTCAGTTGGTTGAGCCAGGAGCACATACAAGAAGCAACAAATGAATGCATAAATGGGTAGAATAATTTATGAATGTTTCTCTCTTTCTCTCTCAAATCAATAAATAAAAAGTTTCTTAAAAAAAAAAAGGGGGGGGGGTGCGAAACTGGTTTGGCTCAATGGAAGAGCGTCGGCTTGGGGACTGAAAGGTCCCGGGTTTGATTCCAGTCAAGGGCATGTACGTTGGTTGCGGGCATATCCCCAGTAGGGGGTGTGCAAGAGGCAGCTGATCGATGACTCTCTCTCATAGATGTTTCTAACTTTCTATCTCTCTCCCTTCCTCTCTCTACAAAATCAATAAAATATATTTTAAATAAATAAATAAATAAATAAATAAATAAATAAATAAATAAATAAAAAGGGGGCAGGGGGACTACCAATGTCAATCTACCTCTTGCCGAAGCCGGTTTGGCTCAGTGGTAGAGCGTCGGTCTGCGGACTGAAAGGTCCCAGGTTCGATTCCCTCCAGGGGCATGTACGTTGGTTGCGGGCACATCCCTGGTAGGGGGTGTGCAAGAGGCAACTGGTCGATTTTTCTCTCTCATTGACATTTCTAGCTCTCTATCTCTCTCCCTTCCTCTCTGTAAAAAATCAATAAAATATATATTTTTTAAAAATCTACCTCTTAATTCTAAAGTCTAGAAGGGCATAAAGCTTTGGGAAAGGGCAAGTATTAAAATAATGTATTAAAATACAAGAGATGGAGAAGAACATTTCATAGGTAAAGTGCTAGCCAATAAATTAGACACAATTAAGAAGAATCCAGTTATAAGCCCACAATGTCAAAGATGTCCCTTCCTCATGCCAAATGTTATATTTAAACTATTCTTGATGGAAAGCTTCCTACTTTCAGAAAGAAGGTAGGCTTACTATTAATTGGAACTTTTCTTAATGAATCAGAAGCACCAATAAATAGAAAGGATACAAGTTAAAAACAAGTTCAGCCTATGGCCTCATTGTGCTACTCACAATACACCAAATATGACCCAACTCCCTTTAGAAGTCCTGATGGCCTTACTGTAGCATTGTACAAAAGACCCCAGCAATGACCCTGAGTCCTCCAAATACAGCCAACCCATGGCCTGCCCACTAAGGCAATAGAAAGGGAAACAAACTGTAGAAGACACTTCCCTCAAAATTGGGTTAAAGCACAATTGCATCAGGGGACTAGTTTCACTATCAGCTGGGAAGCTCCTTTCTTCAGGACAATTTATTCCTTGACCAGGTAAGGACGACGACGTATGTTCTTCCTCAGGAATTTAATGCTTAGAAGAGAAAATGGGCTTCTCTTCATAACCTGAGTAATAAAGAAAGCATTAGGAGTTAGGAAAGAACTGCCAGTAATAAGGGAAGCATTGGAAGTTGGGAAAGAACTAAGTTTTAGGACTGAATTCCACCTGCCCCTAAATTTTCTTTGTAAAGTTATCCTGAAAGTTAGGTTAGAATCACTCCTTTAAAGTTGGAGGAGATAGAGACTTTCAGAAACCACATTCTGATTGTGGGATTTATTTCCATTGTGATTGCTAACTTCTAGTATCAGCCTTTGGTTCTGCATGACAGCTCTCGTCTTCCAAACCAGCAAGATTCCTGAATTTGGCAAGGATCCTGCCTTTTCAAGTTAGAGTTTTTAGCAATGTCACATTTCTCTAAGCCAGCAATAAAGAAAAGGTTGTTGAGGCAAACAAAGGATGGCACTGAGTTTGACCTAACAAAACAACCTCCTAGCCAGCAGGTGCAGGCCAACACATTCAGAGTGATCAAGACCTTTGAGTAATAAAAATATTTTTTAATATTTATTTACCTTACCAAATAGCTTTAATAGATAAAACATAATTTAGTTATTTCAATTTTGCTATATTCATTTAAAGTCATGTTTTCTATTTGTATATGTGTGACTATAACGTGAATACAATGTTGCATTTCTTGACATGTTTTATAACCTCTACACAAAATGGAACCAAAGGATTCCTTCAAAAGAGATAAAGGACACTGCTGTCATTCTAAGTAAATTTTCCAGGAGGAGAAAGAGTGGAATAAATGATTATAAATGATTAGGAAGAAGCATCATTTGCCAATGGTGCAGAGCCTATAATTATGTGTAATTCCCTACTTAGATGTTTTAGTAATGCTGAACATTGAAAAAATCTAAATGATGGGGAGGAGAAAAGAAAAAGGGAGAGATTTAAGCATTCAATGTAAGGCATTCATTTAAAAATGAAGCCGTCACCTCACCTCCCAGGACAGTTAAGAGTTTGATAGTCCCACTGGCATCCTGTTGTCAAATCATTTTTTTTTTAACCATGGATTTGGGATCCTTATAAATTTTCCTTATTATTTTGAAGTCAAGAATGGTTTCTCCTGCTCACAAAACATGATCACTTTTTGCTGATATTTTTTAATGCTGACTGGTTTTGCATATCTGGAAAAGATAAATCTTCGACCTTGGAAATAAATCTTCTTTTTCCTCCCTGCCAAATCCATTCTTTCCTACCACTGACAGCACCATCAGATACACAGACGTGCCTTGCTTGGTTAAAAGTGTGTTGATATTTTTAGCATGAACAAGAATGTACTTAGGGACCCACACTAAGACATGTTCTGCACATGTTACAAATTCTGTTTGGTTCTGTCCTAGAGGTGTCCCATGAAGTCCAGTTTGACTCTGGGACTCATTCAAGGTTAATATTCTCCCAAATCGGTTGTTCTAGGGAGGGGAGAGAAGAGACCTTTAGGACCTAGAATATAGCAGGAAATCTGAAGATATGAGCCTAGATGGGTACAGGGCCTGCCTCTTCAGATTCCTAGGGTCTTCTCCACCCCACACTGGAGATGATTTTACACAACAAGAATTGGTGCTCTGGAGAGGAGAGGCAAATCTGAAGAAAAGCAATCCATAGAATCATTCAGAGGCATCAGAAAATGAAGTTTGAAATTCTACAACAGCTCTGATTTTTTTTTCTTTGTTCCCTCTCATCATTTATAAGTAAAATGTAGAACAACAGAAAGGAAATAACAAACTACAGAATTATATAGGATTTTCTATTCCTCGCCACCCTTCCCCCAATTTTATTTTTTAGTAATCCCAAGGTATAAACCTCATGATATAAATACTGTAATTCTTTCAGTATTACAGGAGTGGGAAGAAGTAGGTTTACAGTTGTAATGCAAATAAATAATACAGTAATTACTAAATAATAATACAAGAATAAACTGTTTTATATACTCAAAACTATAAACCAACTTTTGCCAACCCCTGTATTATCCTTATATTTGATGCCAGAACAGTGAGTCTCAGAAAGAGGAAATGACCTCCATGAGGTCATGCAATGAGTCAAAGACAGCCCAAAAAATAATACCCAGTTTTTCTCTCTTCGACCCAGAATATTTACCCTGCTGGCTTTAAACATCTCTTTCCTCCTCCCTTTGGAGGTTCTCTTTTGAACTTGATCCTTCACCAACTGTGGAGTTAAGATGGATCCATGTTCAGAGTTGTAGAACTGTTGTGTAAAGCTCCCCCAAAG